TTTGTTGCCTAGATGATCTGTCCAATGCTGAGAGGTGTGACCAGGTCCCCCAGTATTATCATAAAGCAGATGCTTCTTCTGTCACTCTGAAATGGGCTTTGTGGAGAGCGACATCCTCTTCTTTATCTCTGCTGGTGACTCTCCTTGTGTCAATGCACTCCAGTGGCTGGCAGACTGTCTGCGTGGTGGTTGTGGCATCTAGCTGCTTTTGTGGTAGCCATGGTTATTGTGGCTGTGGTGGGCCACCCACATGGAGGTGATATTTTTGGCATGCTCCTTGGTGCTGGCAGTGTGCCCAGTTGTGGAGAGTGTCTGGTCCCCAGATCCATGCCTTGGGTCCCTGGGTGGGTCGTGAGGCACTGGTGCAGTGTGCCTGGTTGTGGGAGAGGGATCTGGTCCCCGGATCCATGCCTTGGGACCCCAAGTGGATCCTGAGGCACTGGCATGGTGTGCCTGGTTGTGGGAGGGGGTTCCATTCCCCTTCTCTATGTCTTGGGTTCCCAGGTAGCCCCTGAGGAGCTGGCGCAGTGTGCCTGGTTGTAGGTGGGGGACCAGTCCCTGGCTGCATGCCCTGGGCCCCCAAGTGGGCCCCAATGTGCTGGCAGTGTGAGTGGTTGTGGGTGGGGGTCCTGTACCTGGCTCCATGCTTCATGTCCCCTGGTGGGTCCCAAGGGACTGGTGGTGTGCCTGGGCCAGAACTAATTTTTTGTCCTTTGCTTACTTCTAACATCGGGGAACTTCCTGTGTGAACCAGTACTTGAGCTGTGTCATTGACCTAAATTGCTGCTTTGCTGCTATTTCCCTAGGAAAGGCGTTTTGTGCAGCTCAGGGTTTAATGGTTGACCTTATAGGTACTTCTGGCTCTCCAGAGACTCGGTGCACCTGGGTTGTATAGAAACTCTGATCTGGGCCTGAGTTTTTCATCAAACTGCACCCCATGCAATTCTACATTCCTGACCAATCTCCTCTGAGTGGTCCTGTGCTGATTGGGGGCAGATCGGCTGTCCTTGCTGTGCCCCAGT